ACCCGTGCCCCCCGCTCACCACAGGCAGGAGGCTGGGTGCAGCGTAGCGGCTGACGGTGCTGTTGGGGAGGCTGCGGCTGCGCAGGCTCTTCACCTCCTCCTGGGCTTCCTGCAGCATCCCGCCGCACTCCGCGTACTTCTCCTGCAGGTCCCGCAGCTGCGGGCACAGGGACAGCTCAGGCATGGCCCCGGTGGCAGTGGGGCAGGACCCCCCCACCCACCAGGGCACCCATAGGTGGCTCACCTCCGTCCGGAGCTGCTGCTGCACCTCCTTTGCCACGGCCAGGTGCTGCTGGAGCTCCTCCACCTCCGAGCCGTACTGCAGGCAGGAGCAGGCAGGTCAGGGAGCTGTACCCCTGTGTCCCCCCCTCCTCAATATCCCCCCCCCGGCACGGGCAGGGGGCACTCACCGTACGGCACTTCTGCTGCAGGTCCACAACCTGTGCCAGGAGCTGGCTGATCTCCTCCTGCTGCCGCGCTGTGTCCTCTGCCTTGCGGGCCAGCTCCTCCGAGAGGTAAACTACCTGCTGGCTCGCCTCGGCTGGGGAGGGAGCAGGGTCCATCACCACCAGGGCATGGTCCCCCCACCCCAGCCCCAGCCCTGATGCTGGGCAGTGCCTGCAGACCCCCCGGAGAGGAGCTGCCCCCCCACAAAGCCCAGCCCCACATACAGAACTGCTCCACGCAGTCGATCATCAGCTGCTGCTCCTGGTCCTCATACTGAGAGGTCTCAGTTGCGATGTTGGTGGCCTGGGGGAGAGGGTCAGAGGGTCTGAGCATGACCTCCAGCCTCTCTGAGGGCCAGCTCAGGACCCCCGGTGGCAAGTGGGGCCAGGGTGGGCACAGAGAAGGGTGCCCCCCCATCTCTCCTCACCTCCATGCGAAGCTTCTGGTTCTCCTCCTCCAGGCTCTTGAGCTTCTGCTGCAAGGTGTCATACTGGAAGTACTGCTGCAGGGACAGCGAGGACTCGTTCCGGCGCAGCCTGGGGACAGCGGGGAGGGCACTGAGCACCCACAGTGTGGGCAGGATGGGGCTGCCCCCCCAGAGCCCTGCCCACTCCTCCCAGCACCCAGGCAGGCATCTACAGCGACCTGACTCTGTGGGGCTGGACCCATGGAAGAAAAGGGAGTGCCAGCCCTGGAACCACCCCAGGGAGGGTGATGGCTACAGCCCAACGCCTCTGCCTGGCCCCCCAGGAGCATCCCAGCCCTGAGCGAGCTGTGGGACAGGGACCCCCCCACTCACGGTGTGGAGATGGTGGAGGTGGGCTCACTCTCCTCCGTGGTGGTGGTGTAGAAGTGGAGCAGATCATCCCGCATGGAGAGTTCGTGGCGCAGCTGTGCGATCTGGGAGGGGAAGGGCCATCAGGGCACAGATGGAGAGACCACAGCCACCCTCAGGACACAGGGAGCCGAGGACCCTGCACTCAGGAGCTGTTACCTCCTCTTTGGCCAACTCCAGCTGCTCCTCCAGGAGCTCGTTGCGCTCCGTCAGGCTCCGGTTCTGCTTCAGCAGGGACTGCCCGATGCGCGCCGCCAGCTCCAGGTCCCGCTCCTTCTGCAAGGGACACGTCTGTCTCAGCGGGGGTTCGTCCCCTGCTCTGCCCCCTCTTCCCCGGGGTCCCACCAGCCCCCCAAGCTCTCACACCAGCCCGAGCCCGCGTGTGGGATGGGCACCGGCGTACCTCATCCAGCAGATTGGTGACAGCATCGATGTCATGGTAGGTCTTCGTGATCCTGACCACCCGCTCAGCACACAGGACTGGGGGAGAAGGGTGAAGGGTGAGACCCTACACTGTGGGAGCACCATCCCAGGGGCTCAGCACCATCCCCCTGCACTGTCCCCTGCCATGGTTTCCCATCAACACTCAATATTCATTGCCCTGGGCTTGCACAGCAGAGGGAACAGGAGGTGGCTACTGCAGGTGGCACAAAGCTGCTCCACAGTGGTCACCAAAAAGGACCTTTTATCTGCTTGGCACTGGCTGTGGCATGGGGTAGAGGCAGGCAGGGATGCTCACAGCACCACAGGAAATGGGGTGCTCCCACCTCACCCCCCAATCCTGCCCACATCTTGGGGCAGCAGGAAAGATGCCAAGCTCCATTCGCTGCACCCACCACCCCAGCCCAGATGGGGTGCCAGCCCCCCGCAGGGTACACGGATGGGAGGAAGGGATGGGGAAGGGCAGGCAGCCGAGATGGGATCAGAGGTGACAACTCCAGCAAAAAGCAGGCTGGAGCTCCAGTATAAATAGCGACGGTGGCACCATGCAGAGCCAGGCTCGCAGGCAGCGTCCCCTCCAATCTGTCCCCAGCCCCCTCCCCCAGATGTCCCCTGGAGAAGCCAGCCCTGCCCTAGTTTCTCCCTGGAGATGCTGGCCGAGGCAGAGCCAAGTCCATCCTCTGGGGATGCTGCACCCCGCACCCACCCCGATGCCTCTCCATCTGCAGCGACGCAGCCATCCGCGCCGTCAGCAGCCGGGGCAGAGGCAGCTGCAGGCAGGTTGCCTCAGTAACAGGCAGCTGCCTGCCACGCCAACACCACACCACGCTGCTGCATCGGGCTGGGCCCCGGCGAAAGCCCTGCTTCCTCCCCTGCCACTATCTGGGTCTCCAGCAGGGAGAGGGGACACGAGGACGTCTGTCCCCCCGGCACCGATCCTGCCAACTGCGCCGGCAGAAGCTGCCAGACAGCGCCGGGCACACACCCAGATGGCAGCGCTGGGAGGGAGCCAGCAGCCAGCACGAAGCCCCCAAGGCTCTGCCAGCACCCCAAACTCTGCCTGCACCCCACAGCTGCTCCCCATGCTCCCTTCGATGGCCAACCGCCCCAGGGGCGCGTGCCTCAGTTTCCCCAGCAGAGCAGCTCTGGGGCCTCGACCTGTGTCCCCAGTGAGGAGCGTGCTCCCCGGCTGGGCAAAGTGGGTTAACGGGAGAGGCTCAGCCACACAAATCCCATTACGCCGCCCCAGCTGGGGTTGTGTAATGGTGTGCGTGTTGTTATGGCAATGCCCCCACTCGCCACCCCCGTCCTGTCCCCACTGCCCCGGGTGCTGGCCCTGCACCCCCAGCGGGCACGTACCCCAGTGGGCACATCCACGGGGAGAGGGGCCAACCCCAACCTCAACCCCAGCCTCACCCCCTCCCCATGCCCCAACAGGGCCTGCTCCCTGCAGGGGTCTCCAAGTGGACCTCGTCAGGCCGCTGAGCCGTTAATTGGAAATAATTAGAGCATGAGCATCGTTACGGTTGGAGCGAGTGGCAGGCCCTGGGAGGCAGCGGGGGCTGCAGTGCTGGCAAACACGTAAACACCCTCCCCATCCACGGGCCTCATCCAGCGCAACGCAGGGACCAGCGCAATGCAGGGACCCTCACCCCATGGAAGGTCAGACCCCCATCCCCATGGGCACACTCAGACCCGGCAGGGACCCCTCATCCCATCCCTCTGCCTGCTGGAGCAGGGACACCCTTCCCGGGGGTCGGGGTGACCCAGGGGGTCCCCAAGGGACCAGGCAGCAGATTCCCTGGGATGGAGCCCTGCAAGGGGGGGCCGGGACCGCGCACCCCACAGCGGGGAGGGGAAAACGCACAGTGGGGAAAAAGGATGGCACCCACCGGGGGGAGAGACCCCAGGTCCCCCCCCAGCCCAACTCCGGACTTAACCCCGCTCCTCTCCGCGCCCCCCATCCCCCGCCCCACGGAGGGACCCCGGCCCCGGGGCGGCACCGGCCGGGCCGCCCTCACCTTCCTCCAGCTCCCGGGCGATGGGGTCGGTGCCGCCGCCGCCGCCCGGCTCCGCGTTCCCGTTGAGCTCCTCGTAACCGGCGGGGC